AACCTCACTTCTTCAGATGCAAGCCTTGCATCTGAAGAAGTGAGGTTCTTACCCACGAAAGCTTATGCTCCCAATTCTTCTGTTAGTCTCAAAGGTGCCACAGGACCCTCTGTTGCTATAAACCTTAAGCACCTGCTCTCCTATCTCCATACTGCTGGGAATCTTACTCCCGTAGGAATGGTATAACATGTAAGTTTCTGGTTGGCCCAACCATGTAGTAGCAGATGGGCAATGCTGCCACCGCCATGTAGATTTGAATTAAATATTGATCCCGGGCTAGGAGTGCTGCAGAAGCAGCACATGCAGTGCCAGCTGGAAGGAAAGGGGGATCTCGCCCAATCCCTCAGAACCACGTGCACAGGCTAAGAATGGAAGCCCGTTCAGTTGTGTGAGTCTGGAAGGAGTGTTGCCGCTACCAGGGCTATAAGAAGGAATAAAGGCCAGAAATAGGGGATTATGGAGGACTGCAGCTTCCACAAAAAGTTGAGTTGATTGGGTGAACTGGTATGGGCAATGGGCTGTACAGAGCATATTAGGAGCTCTTTACAGAAAGGTCAGATTTCAGTTTTGTTTGTGCAATTTGCTTCATATGAAAAAAAATCTGTTTTGTATTTCTGAGCCTTTTACAGCTGGGACTCAGTACTTAAGCCAAATCTGAGCAAAGAGTGAGAAAAATAGCTGTTTTCTACAATGGATGAATAATAATTTCTGGGCTGCCCCATTCATCCTTTTCCTCCTCAGTCGGCCAACCTGATGAAACTATTTTCCTGAGGTGTGGTTCATTTTGCTCTTACATTCTTAATTTGTATCTAGTTTGTAGATGTGTAACAATCAGGAAAACCCTGGAAGGAGACAGGCTCAAGGATGTGGTCTTAAAGAGGCAATGTCAGTCTGAATCTGTGGCGGAACCAAGCAAGGAGTACTTGCTGTGTAAGGGTGACCGATCATAGAGAGAAAAGCATATGTAGGTAGAGCTGATCACTGCCAATTGTAGTACCCTGTAGAGTAAAGGAACTTCATAACACCGTAGACCAGCCCTCCTGATAATCTCCTTTTGCTGCTCCAGAAAAGGGTTGTTTATATCATTCTGTCTCATTGTAAGGAGATGATGAAGATGTGCTAAGCTCTTCCCTCCTGGAAACCCAGCACCAGTACTGTGGGCATAGACTGGAGGAAGTCCTGTCTTGCTCCATCATTTAGCAGAACCTGTGAGAGAGGCTACAGACAGGGGGATGCTCATTCTGTCTGATGCTGCCTCTGGTGACATCAGCGTGGCTTTTCACTGTTTCCTGTTCCCCTTCTCTTTTGCCCTCTTCCATTTTGTATGAAGAGAGGGGATTGGCTGGTGGGGAGTAGGTGACTCAGTCTCCAAAACTTTGTCTGCATCACATCCTGACAGTGACCGCAGTGGCCTGTGTTAGGTGGAAGTGCCATTCTACCCAGAGAGGACATGACTCAAGCTCTGGGACCAGCATGTGGCTACATGTTCTTCCCTTACAGGAAGTCACCTGATACTGGCCGCTGGAGGCCCAAGGGTACAGGCTTTTCCATCTGTTGGTTTAAACTAACTTTGCATTGGTTCCCATAGGAAGAGTGGGGACTAGATGTGGAGCAATGCCAGGTTCCTAATCCTGCTTCTCATGGTCGACTCCCCCAGTGGCCACTCCAAATGGGCAAAGGACTATAACTAAACTGGCAGTGGGAGTCTGTTGGGGGGGAGGAGAGGACCTGTCTTTTGGACTTAAACGGCTTTAGGATACACAAAATAATCTTGAAGCCTCTCATTGTTGTTGTTATTGCCATTGGATTCCTGTCTTTAAAAATGTATATTTATTTTCTGAAGCCTAAAATGCATTTACAACGGTTCAGCGTTTGTCAGTATTTGACAGTGGATAATGGCAACTCCCAGAGCAAAGGGGAACTGGGGGCCAGAATGTGACTGTCTGAGTTACTATCTGGTTCCTGATCTACACTAAGGGTAATGAAACTAAGTACTGCTCCTTGCCCAAGAGTTGTGCCAAAGCCACAATTTAGCCTTTTAGGTACATAATAATTCATACTGCTGACTACTTCCCTGTTGTCTATAACACCAGTGGCTGGATAGGTTCAATAGCATGGCCTGAAAATATTCTCATGCTATAGATCGGAATAATTTCCTCTTCTTTTTTTCATTTCCCTGGCCCTGCAGAAACCAAATGGCTAGGGCCCAGGTAGGAGAGAAGTTAGAGAGAGAGAATGAGAGCTCTCCTCCCTGTCCCCTTTCATAGCCCCTGTTCAATGTACTTGAGCAACAATAAATATTTTTCCTGGACACTGGCACACTCAGTTGGAGATCCTGAGGGTGAAAGTCCATAGTAATTTCTCTCTGCTACACAAACATCCTCTCTCAACCTTTTGTAAACCAAATAAACACACGAGATTGTGACCTTGGGGACAGGCCAGGAAATGGAACTGAATTGTCACCTTCCACCACCATGCACACAATTGGAAAGAGAAATTGGTAATGGAGGGGCAAGGAAATCCATTTATCTTATTACTGTCTTTCCCAGTCTAATTTCTTCTTGGCTCCTCCCACATCTTTTGCTTTTATTTTTCAGTCAGTTAATTATTTTAAAAGCTCTTCCCTTCCAAGACTGCCTTTTTCTGGTAACCTCAAACCCATCAGCAGGTGCATCAACGCTTTTGTATTTATATGTATTGTGACAGGGTCAGGCCAGATGGCTACAGAAGAGTGGTCCCATTGGGATCCAGGAAGTGGGCGGGCTTTGCCCGCCCACTGCTAAAGGA